GGACAGTGTTGGCAAATCTGTCCAAATACCCCTTGTCCGATTGTCCAATTTGTGTCCAATTTACTGTATTAGGTAATTTGGACTAATAGTTACTGCGGCATTTGGACAATTGGACAGGACAAATCCAAATAAAATTTAATTGGACACCTAAAAATGCCAACCCTGACTGAGGAGGATGATGAAGAGGATGAGGATGATAGAGAGGATGAAGATGATGATGATAGTAATGATGGAATTGTAGATATTGGGGAGGTATGGAGAGGATTTAGGTCGCCCTGGGCCTTGAAGAGCAGGAAATATTGATGAATCACTTAATTAGGAAGAGGATTAATTGTGATAAATTGAGGGAGGAGGAGGGATTAATGAGGACCAATCAAGCTATGAGTTTGAAGGCGTGGGAGTTTAGGAAGAAATTTAGGAGAATTTTATTCCCTAACACCAATTATTATTATTGAAGGAGGTGTAGAAGGATCTTGATGATGATGTAGTGTTTCTATTTGAATTTTATTCATTATGAATTTGAATTTTTTTTTTTTTTTAATAAAGACAATATCTTGCTCATTCACAAAATAGCTTCTAGATTAACTTTATATGAGGCTATTTCTCTTGAAAATAATTAAAAACAGGTATACCAAGAAAAGCCTATGAAGTCCATAAAGTCTCAATTTAGCAATTTTAACTGAATCATAGATATTGTTGACTGATCTGGATATTATCTAGGTAATAGGAAGTCAGATCCAGTATTAATTAAGTTGTTTATTAAAACTAAGTGAGAATTATTAGAATTAGAGTTAGCATTTAAAAAGGTCTTGAAGGCATTTGTGCTATCTGATTAATTGTGTATAATTGATTAGTTATTTTATTTTTTAAGTTGATATTATTTGTTTTAACCATGTGTTAAACAAAGCACATTGTGGAGTTCACACATTTTTGCAATAGAAAATTATTAGATTGTAGGTGATGATGTGAAGAATGAGGACCCCAGATTATTATAATTGAGGTAACATGCGATTTTGATAAAGTTTTTTGCTGAAGTTACAGTACATGTAAATTTAGGATAAAGTTAATAAAAAAATTGAAAAATCCTACCATAAAAAGCGATGATAAGCACCACCACGTGATTTTGTAGATGAATTAGTCTATTTATATCGGTGATCGTCACAATTGGCCAATAAGATTTTGGATAAAGTTTTGGAAATTTACTTAATAGCCTGTATGTTACTTCAATTATAATAATCCAGGTCCTGAAGAATGATTGAAGTTTTTGTGAGAAGTAAATATTGGATATACAAAGTTAATAGAGGTAATGGAATTAATCCAGCTGTAAGCATTACAGGTGGAGTATTGTTGAAGTTAGATTGGTATAAAGGTTGTAATAGTTGTTTAGTTTGTGTAACTTTGAAGGATATGTATCAATTTGAGATTTCAGAGATTATTGATTGTTGGATTGTTGGCCAAAATATTATAATGAAATGCATGAAGAATTAAGCAAACTTTTGGAAGAAAAGACTATTAAACAAGATAATTTAAGAGATAGCCTACATGATATAACATTACAGAAGAATGCATTTGAAGGCTATATTATCATGAAGGTATTAAAACATTTCAGATAAATAATTATTTTATAAGTTTAAATTTTCTTTTTTATATAGAAACTAGAGTGACAAGTGATGGCGATAACCACCACCATCATCCTTAAAACACTTGCTTTGCAAAATCAGGAACAAATTCTCTACTTCTTTTATTATTTCCAGAAGACATTATTTTTTTTTTAATTTGAAAAAAAAATTTTTTTGATCAACAAACATGTGCATATTAATTATTTATCCTATTGGGTGGACAGATGTGATTTTTCTTGGAAAAACAATGAAAACAATTTATTTTTTGACAAAGCCCAAGGTGACAAAACACAAGTCTTCTAAAGAAGACATGTTAATAACTAATCAGAAGTACTATTTTTTATTTGTATTGATATAATGTGGTGTCTTTTATTTTATATAAATATTTTAATTGGAATCAAAATGCGGAGCAGATGATTGCTGGGTAATTATATGATCCTTGTCAACTATGAACAATTGATATTTTGCTTTTTGAAATCAATAATATTAATAATATTATTATATAATTAGAAGTCAAGGCAGCACAACTGAAACAATTCAATATGCAATGTTTGATTATCAAAAATTGGCAGGCATTGAAGCATGCCCACTGCCTTGAACACTTACAGCCATTCTCACACATTCCTCATGTACACAAGGCTAATCTGACTAGTGTGCCCTGATGATACAATGATGTTGTTAAATTTCCAGGGGGGGATGTGGCTCTGGAGTTTATTGAGACTGCATCAATCGTCAAGGATATTTTCACTAATCTTCCCAGACCAGAGATGGCTGCTGGCATGTTAAACAAAAAGTTACCTGCAATGATCCTACCACTAGATAAAAATGGCACTGTGTCCAAGATATCACAACTCTGGAGGAACATTAAGAGAATCTGCAGCTTGTTTCAAGCACAGGAGATTACAATTCAGAGTGGGGTTGGTGACCCTGAAATTATGTTTGGGCTCTGATGTTAGGAGAAAGGCTGTAAAATAAAAATGGTTCAGATATTTTTTTTTGTATGTTTTGTATAAATTATTCATTCCCAAAAATTTTCTGTTTTGTAATTTTTACTTGATCAACTGAATTTGTTGTTTTTTAAATGGGGGCTTTTGCCCATATAACCTCCTACTCTAGGATAGAGGAGTGTAGCTCAATGAGAGCATGTACCTTACAAGTATAAAGGTGGCAGTTCGATTCTGCCCACTTCTATTGTGATATTTAGCATAATCACTAGCATCAAGGAGAGAGTTTTAAAATAAAATAGTTCAGATTTTGTTTGGTATGTTATGTATAAATTAATCATTTTCATAAATTCTCTGTTTCTCTAATTTTTATTTGACCAACTGAACTTGTTATTTAAATGGTGGTAGGGTTGTTGGTGAGTAGGTGTGCCACCAATAAGACAGCAACTCAGGACTCAAAACTCTGAATCCAAAACAGCAACCAGGTTGCAACCTCCAGAGTTGGGGAATTTTCAACCAGTTGCAGGTGCCAACTTTTATGCTAGTGTGGCAATAACATGCAGCAATCATCCACACAAATGCTAGCTATCAGTGATCAATGCCCATTTGGTAACAGCCAAGCCTGGTCTGAAAGGAAGATAAGGGAATGTTTTGTCCAAAGCCTTCCAACATGTGGGGTGCTTCAACTGTGGAGAAAAATCTATAGTGCTGAAGCGTGTGAAAGTACCTGACTGCATGTTTGTGGCAGGAAAATTTTAATTAATCTGACACTATGATCAACATCAGATTTATTATTCCTAAGGAATAATCAGGAAAAGTAATTTATTAGAGATCTGGGTAGACAGGCATTATTAAAAGTTTGTTTATGCATGGCCTTGGTATCATTACTACCTGGGTGATGCAATTGTTTGTTATGTCAATTATAACATCAAATGTATTGAATAATAATCATGACATCATGAATATTTGATGGATGGAGGCATTCACATACAAGGAAATGAAGGAAATGATTAAATAGTTAAGTCATGTTTGTTTTATTAAAGATGTATAATTAATTATATTTAAAAAATTATTATTTTATTTCACCTTTGTAATGGCATTAATTTCAGTTGAATTAATGTTATTAAATGTTTTTTTTAAAAGATAATTCATCAAATGATTTTTGTTACATTAAAACAGAGAAAGCTTTATTTTCAAGATTAATCAAAATCAAATTGATAAATCAATACTAAGCAGTTCTGACTGTGGAATATATCATAATTCAGCATTAATAAGTTTTTACAATTTAGAGCTACTTGATATTACTAATAATGAATTCTATTGCATTTGTTATTTTACTGGAGTAGATGATACTTATAGAAATGATTTGAATCTGACAGAAGGTTTTATTTGTTAGAAGAAATAGAAGTATATAAACTGGCATACAAAATTATGGTTTTTAAATAATAATAAATAAGATTGAGATATCTTTTAATTTTTATCTCTATTTCTATTAAAAATTATAATAGCAAACTTATTTCAAATCATTGTACAATCAGATTTAAAAAATTTATTTATCAAATGTGATAGTGTTAGATTCAAATAACACCACATAGAAAAGAGGCTAAAACAATCAACCGATCTTTCTTTTCTAAAAGGCAAATTGTTTTCATAAAGGTTGAACAAGAGACAAGATGTCTTGCTCTATGCATTTCTCAATTTTCGGAACTTTTTTTGCTTTTCTAACTTTCAAACACAATAGTGTTCTCGATTTGGTATACTAAGTGCTTTCATATTTCGAGCTATCATTGTGTACTATAAAGTAAAATCCTTAGTACTTATCATCAACAATGTTACTTCAATGTAAAAATATGAAGTCAAATTATTTGTTTCACGAATGTTTATTGGGTATCTTTTCATTATTTTTAGTGTAACGGTTTCTTCATTAGAATCAAATGTAAGTTTTAAAATATTAGACTTTTCTTTAAAGCGAATCATTGATTCATTGCCAAATTATATCCATGATAACTTTTTTGACATTTCTTTTGTGCATCGTTTGAATTTTTACAATCATAACAAGTTTTTTGCATAGAAAGTTTTAACAATAATAAAAGATATAACCGGTGCATAACTGTTATAAAATACACCACAAACAAGTTATAACTTTGAGAGAGAAGGGAATATGGTGAATTTGTTAACTTTAAAAACAATTAGCAAAGAAAGATTCACAGATTTTAGAAAACGTTTTTGGAATGCGTAAATGAATTACTTGTCAGATCAATCGACAACAACCAATCAACAAAAGAACCAACAATCCAGCCAAGAGATCATTAAAGTTTTGTATGTGCATGAAACTTCATTAAAATGATATTTCATATTTAATTGGTCAAACATCATCAAGTAAAAATAAGAAGAATTATATTTATTTATCTATTTAGAAATTTTATTTAAATTTTTTTCAATTTGATAATCCAAAAAATCCTTTAATTTTTGAAAATAAACCAATAGATTTTTTAGATTTTCTTGAGGATTTTATTTTTTGCTTTGCATTTGTTGTAGCTGCAATTCTCCTTCTAATTCTCATTGATTTTTTTGCAGATGTAGATGTAATAGTGTCAGGTACGGTAGAAGGAGCATTGATGACAGGTTTAATGCTAGTGTCAGTAACTTGAATGTGATTAATAATAGTCTTGGGAATAATTTCTGTAGAATTGGCACTAGCATTGACATTAGATCTCAAATGTTCAATTGGCTTTATTGATTGAAAATTAGGTTGTGGTGATTGATCGAGTATTGATTTTAAAGCTTCTTTTATTTTTGATTTTTTGACATTAGACCTTAAATGTTCGACTTGGTTTATTGATTGAGAAGTAGGTTGTGGCGATTGATCAAGTATTGATTTTAAAGTTTCTTTTATTTTTGAATTTTTGACATTAGATCTTAAATGTTCGATCGAATTTATTGATCGAGACGTAGGTTGTGGCGATTGATCAAGTATTGATTTTAGAGTCTCTTTTATTTTTGATTTTTTTGATGATTTTGTAATGATGGATCCAGATAAATTAAAAGTTTTTGGAGGCAAAGTATCTGATGAAGAAACGCTATTACTACTACTAATTCTGCTCCTACTATTGCTATTACCTTCTCTTTCAGGAATGGGATAAGACATAGGCATCATTGTCGTATATTTTTGTGTAGTTTCCGCATCAATTGTTATTCCAGCATTTTGAAATTCATTATTTACATTATCAATCATCAATTTTACTTGATGATCGGTAGCCAATTTAGCCATTTGGAACATAGAAGGCATTTCACCTGTAGTAAGATCAACACCTTTCTTTTTCAAAGTTTCTGTGAATTGATAAATGGTAGCTATTAGTTTTGGATCTTTGCCAATTTTTGAGATTATTTGATCTTGGAGAACAGTGTTTATATTATTGTCATTTGAACCAGATGATGATGATGATGATGAATTTGTTGAATATAATTTTTTATAATTGTAATTGTAATTGTAATTGTAAATATCGTTATTATGGTTATTTATATGATAATCTTTCTTTTGATAGATTCTTAATAAAGGATAACAGTCAAAGAGATTATTATTGGTATTGGTATTGGTATATTGTATTAACGTGTTTCTAACATTAAAGATAAAATATGAATTTTTTGATAGACCTGATTTATATATAATAAGATTTTTAGCAAGCATTTTTAATCCAGTTTAATTAATAGAAATGATGAAAAACTATTGATAAGCATTTCGTATCACCGAAATTTATTCCGACAGGAACCACAATTAATGAAAATTTTTCTTTGATATTGATTTATAATTTGGGGATCTCGAGAGATATGTTTGTCTCGCGTGTTGTCGGTGAATTGATAATATTATGTTATCTGGTGAAAGTTCGGGTCAAAATGTAAATATACAATATTTTCAAAATTAATGCCATTTAATATCCTTTTATATATAGAAATATTATCGTAAAATATCATAAATACCATACATTCCGTCACGGTTAGTCTGCAGTTCTAATTAAACAAGCTATCAGATTTAAAAAAACGTGATGGAGAGTCAACACAGCTATGCGATTATTGCATTCAATAACTGGTTTATTGTATGACTGACTATGAAACATTACAAAATTTCCAGATGGAAGTTTCGAAATGCCCAGGCATGTAGCAATGGAATTTTAGAATGTCTCATTTTACAGGCAGACAGACATACAATAAAATATACAGTGCGGATCATAAATTTGAAGTAATATGTGATCCACATGTTGGATTTTTAAAAAAGGAGTCAATTCCATGGCAAGCCAAACAATTCAAAAGTCATTTTGATTTATGAGATGTGCATCATATGCTGTACAATGTACAACATTTAAATTATCGTTATCATTTAAAAAAAATGATCAAGTAATAAATTCATAAGTGATTTTATAAAAAGGTATGAGGGGTTATGCATATTATTTTCATAAAAAAATGTTTAATCTTATCAATTCCAATTACTCTAATTGTCAATTTATTTTTGATAATGGTAATAAATGTAACTGTTGGACTTCCACAAAGTCAGATACTAATGATGTTTGCCAAACCTGTAATCATTTAGAAAGTATTTACCATGTTCAAGAACTGCAACACTTAATACCAATGTTAGCCAGTTGAATGCATTTTCACCAATTAAAAATCATATCAATGAATTGTTTAACTATGCTCACCCACATCAATATGGTGAGCTTACAACAGAAACATTGAAACACAATCCTTATCAACCTTTTAATAATAAAAGAAGAAGTGGATCAAAACTAGTTTCAATGAGTCTAGCAACAACCATAAGAATATTTGTTTCATGATAATGTATAAAGATATATACAATGTACTAAAACCACCAAAGATCCCTTGAGCTGGTACAGAATAGTAAGTATTGTTAGCTGCAGATGTTTTAAAAATTAATTAATCATATTACACAAGTGTTTTTTATAGTTGAAAAATTTAGTTAAACTAAATTTTATTAAGGAAATTATTTTCCTGGTGAATTTGAAACACTGGAAAATTTTTTTTGGGCATTTTACAAACCTGCTGGTGCTGACCTTTCCCCCTTCAACCAGGATTAAATGGTTATATTTTACAAGTGCTAACAAAGTATATAAGTCTTTTTTTATTTTCTATAAAATTGATAAGTGAATTAAAGGAAAATACTAAATTTATATATATTATTAAATTATTTTAGAGTAGCTGGTTCTAATAAAAAATTGTACATTGGTCCAACTAACAAACCAATTGATATTGATTCTTTGATATTAATCAGCAAGTTAATTCAAACAACATTATAAAAACAATGACCCCTCTTTGAATGATGTAGGATTTTCTAGTACCATTGAACTTATATTGAAATAGATAATCAAGATCCAGACCAAAACTCTTCAAATTTATGGAATTTACTGAAAGATTGTATGAAATATATGATAAAAATTACAATAAAAACATATATATATATATTAATTCAAATAACATCAAGAATTAATTAAATGGATTAAATCTGCATCAGATGAAGAAATTTTGCCAAAACCGAAAATTAATCTTATTAGTGAAAGGTAATTAATAATTTAGTCAAGAGTCTTGAAGAATTAAACATTATAGCAAGTGAGAAAACTATCAGATGAAAAGCTGTGAAAAAACCTCTTGTTATGTATTATGTAAATGTCCGTTATATTAATATTAACATAGATTTAGTTTCTGCATTTTACCTGGGTCTTTCTTATCTAAAATCAATAAAAATTTTTTTTTAAAAAATGGCAACATATGAAAAAATTGAAAATGAATTAAATAAAAAATAAAGAAGGTTGGAGGAGACGAAAAAGTTTGGAGAAGAGAATAGACAAGTTGTGGAGAGGAAGTGAGGAAGGATGTGAAGAGAGAGATTACTTGATCGAAGAGAAGAAGAAGTTAGAGCAGAAAGAAAATTTATATGCTGAAGAAGTAAAGAAGTGGGGAGATGTATTAGCTGAAAAGAGTAAAGAAAAAGGTAATGAATGAATTGCATAAAAAATATACAAAAAATTATTTCTTCATTACATTTTGTTTATTTATTTGATATCCTTATTTATAACTGATTTGTACTTTTTTTTCTTAACGATTTGCTTTTTATCATAATCAGAGGCAAAGAGAGTTAGACTTTCCATCGATTCCTTATCAGATCTTAAGAGAGTTATCCTGGCTAATGAATACCCTGTCACTTTTGTTCCCTTTATTGCTCATCCTGAGATAGAAAAGGATATTTGTGAAATTATACATTTGAACTTGATGAGCTTATTCTCACCCCGATCTCAAGATTACTGTGGTATTGTCATTTCTGGTGGAAGTGATACTGGAAAAACTCATATTGGATTTGAAACTGAGAATATTGTTGAACGCAATGAATGGACCAAAACATTAAAAGATAAATTGGATGCAACTTTTGAACATATATGGGGCATGCTGCAACAAAACCAGACAAAGTGAACATTGGTATCATCGAAGATTTCAGGGATCAAAATTTGTAATGTGATTATAATTTGTTATCTTAAGTGATATATAGAATTATCCCTATATAAAAATAGTTAATATGAAACTCATTTACATCAGATCTACAATGGAGCCTAAGAATTATAGCACCATTAGAAGTATTTTGAAGGAAGAACAAGGTAAAAAATTGCACCTTATATTTTTAAACTAGCAGATACCAAATCTTTGCAAACATATTTAGACAAAGAAAGGATTACCTATGAAATTTATCAAGAAGAAAGAAAAATAATAAACATTAGGAAAAGAAAGCAGAATGGAGGTGCATTGTTACCTAACAAAAAGCAGAAATCCTTAGAAGGAAAATAATTTTATTATTATGATATGCCCAAAGAATAGGTAATTCTTACAAATGGCTGGGTCCAAGTATTTTCCTCCATGCAAGTGCTCTGACAATTCTTTAACTTATATTTTTATAAATTATTTATGTATTTTCTATTATTAGGTATGAGTTGTTAATAAATTTAAAGTTTGAAGAGAGTGATTAAAACTATATATAAGAATAATAAATAATTTTAAATGACTTTCCTCTTTACCTTCTTAATGAAATTCTTATTCCTTAGTATTTTTTAATACGCAATGATTTATTAAGAATATTAAATCATAGTATAGAAAACTTACTTGGGTGGCTGGGTCCTGCAAATACTTGTATTTGAACATTTGAATTCAGACTTTTATTCACAATTAGCACGAATGACAATTTCCCATGTACAAGATCACAAAAATAAAAGACTGTGATTATCTATGGTTTTATTAACAACCTTTCTCAAATATTTTCTTGAAATAGGTATATATATTATAAAGAAACTACATGTCAAATTAAACGGGCATTCAATTCTAACAAAAAATAGTGTAGATCATCGGAAAATACACATGTAAACTCGATAAGTCGGTCACGCTGGGGTGAGCTCATATGACCGACTTATCGAATTTTATATCAAACTGATCTACATAAAATATCCAATCAGATTTTTTATTTAATAATTTAAAACAAATAGATTAAAAATAACGTATAAAATTATTTATTATAAAAAAAACTTTCTAAGGTAGGTTGTTTTAGAGATGCATTTTGTTTTCTTCTAATTTGATGTTGTAGGTCTTTCAATCCTGATATTACTGAACTATTTACTTTTATATCAGAATTTTTGCAGATAGTCAAATAGATTTTGAATGCTATCTAAAGCAATTGGATATGATATTGGTGTATTCATGGTTTCTTCTTCTTCTTCTGGTGCTTCTTGTACTGCAGCAATTATCTCATCATCATCAATCATTTCGGCAATTTCTATTCTAGAGTCAATATTAATATAGTTGCTTGCTGTGATATCCTCAACATTCATTTGATTAATAAGTGTTTAAACAGCATTTTCATCATATTTCAGATAATTTAAAATTGTTATCTTTATTCGAGACAAAGGATAGAAATTAATTGTATTTATTTCAGATAGATCTTTACTCAAACAAAGGTTAATTGATAATAATTTCACAGATTTAACAAATTAATGAGACAAGATAAAAATTATGTAGATAGAT